TATATATTTATTACTCCCAAAGTAGTATTATTATAGTTTTTACTATCCTAAATTAAACTTGCTAGCACAAGTTTAATCTAGGACTCCGGAGCAAGTTCGTGTGGATACGTTGGAGGCTTCATACGTTTGGCGCTACGTTCATCTCCTCAAAACCATCCCCGACCGTTCCTCCGTTCTCCGTTTTCACCGTTAAGGTAAAATTCTTACTATAGCTAGTAATTTACGTAAGTTGTTCTTGGGTGGAATCGAGTTTTGGACTATAAATTTTTGTTATCCGCTGCGTTATCCAAGCCTCGTTTCCCAACAAACCTTCCGAGTAAAGGGTTAGTTCTCTCCGAGTGTCGTGTCTCTCGAGGAGTGGATGAAGGGAATTAGTTAAATTACTCTAATTAGGCGAAGATTAGGATTGGTTTATGAAAGTTTTCTCGAAACGATTATAAAAGGAGCAGGGTAAAAATAATAAATTAAGTTTACATAGTATAAGTATAGATCTGGACCTAATGTCTGGACATCATTTGGATTTATTTTATCATATTAAATTAACAATTGGAATAATAATATTTTTATTACTACTCATCCATTTCTAGATTTGTACTTAATCCGTTGTACTTGAATATCATAGCCTTTTGGCATACAATATTTTCTCAATAAATGGCCAATTAAATCTTTCGAGTTTAATTAACCAACCTATTTTGTGATGTTTCAGAGTACATGTTCTTGAAGTTGTCCTCGCATGAGTAAGACATCTGTTTTCTGAAGTTAAAGACAACTGTGATGTTTTGTTGTCTATCTATAATAAATATAACTGTTGTTTTCGACTTCAGACTCCTATTGCGTGGTGTTGTCGTTCAACACTATAGACATCTTATTTCAAAAGTAGTTGAAAGATATATCAGACTTTTGGCTGTTTGGAAAAGGTGATATGGCAGAATGAAGGGCAAGAGAAAAGCAATATTATGGAGTGGTTTTTGATGAAGAGATGAAGTGTTTAAATGGGGAAAGGGGATGGACGAAATTGGGAGAGAAAAAGGGAGTTTTGTGGTGGTTTTCTGGTTGTACAAGGATAAACCAAATAATGAATAAGAGATAAACACACTCTTATTTTATTTGGGGCTATTTCTTTTCACACAATAATATTCACTACTATTATATGAAATAGACACCTAACACACACTCAAAAGTAGCCAACTTTAGAGATATTTCATTAGGAAATGGGGAGAACTAGCTTCACACTAATTCAAAGATTTTACTCAAAGAGTAAAGGGAATAAAATTACAATCTGGTGCTGCATTACAAGGCCTTTGGCCGAAATAAATAAGGGGAAGAAAACTAAGGGGAAGCTTCCTACCACTTTCCTAGAATCAAGTGTATAATATCCATTTGTTTGATGCCTTTAGTTTGTCTTCATTGATCAGTGTTAAAGGATGAATATGGGGTGTTTTTGATGAGGGGATTTCGGCCATGTGAAGGGTGAGGGAAGGGGGTGGTTTGGTTTGGTCCACACCTGAGGAATAATACATTAAGGATTGTCCTTCATTCCTTTGGTTTTATTGTGGATTTGAAGGGTGATAAATGGGATATTTGGGGGGCTGAATTCGTCCATGGGTGTGAAAGGGTGTGGGTTTGATGTATTATCACAACAGGACAAAAGACATGTTTTATT